CTGCCTGCTCAAATGAGGATCAAAGGCACTTAAAATCCCACATGGCCTGGGCACCATCCCACAGTGCAAGGCAAGTATGCCGTAACAAGATGTCTGACAGCAAGTCAGGTGCCCTCAGGCAAAGACCCCCCCACACCATCTGCTGCTTCTTCAGGGCTCATCTCAGCTCAGTAGCCAAGCAGGTGGCCGCCTCAAGGCTCCCCCATGCCACAGCCACCAAGCCCCTGGGCATGTGAGGCAGCAGGCGCGGAGCCTGCTCCACTGCTTGTACAAGGGCCCCAGCTGCTGCATGCAGTGCCAAGTGCCCAGGATGGTGGGGCACTGCTGGGCTCTGTCTCACAGGGCAGCCCTGTTCCTTTGGCCTTGGCCACCTAGGGAAGCCTCTTGTTTTGGGATGTTGAGGTCTGTGGCATCCCTACAGCCTGGGGACAGGTCTGAGGGTCTCCTGGCCTGCCAGTAGAGAGGTAGGGGTCACCCTACCCCCTGGGAAGTCAAGCTAAGCTGCAGCGATTGTAACAGGGGCCTAAAGTACAAGTGAACTTGCTCACTCAATCACAGCAACCTGGGCAAGGACAGGGATGGGACCAGGGCCAGGGACAAAGCTTGTGTTCCAGTGAAGAAAGGGAGCTGAGTGCAGCCAGTGCCCAGGCAGCAACCCCTCTCTCTCTGCTAGAAGGACAGGAAAGCCTCATACTTGCCGCAAGGGGCTGCACAGGAGACCACAGACCAAAACATGCCAGAGGTTTCCCAGATGGCAAAGTGCAAAGTCTGTGACACGCCCCGATGACAAGGGGTCATGCTGGCCAGGCTGCCATGGGGCAGAAAGCTGCTGGGGCCACAGGAGTGTGGCAGGGAAACAGCCCTCCCCTGCTTACAGGGGGCTCGTCTGGTGCGGGGAGACATGGCCTCTTACCAGTCCTTACAGGGTGGCCAAGCTCTGCTGGCAACCAGAGGAGCAACAGGAGAAAAGGCCATAAAGGCCACAGAAGCCAAGACTGCTTCCAGGGAGGTCACCCAGCACGAAACCAGACTGGGCATCGCAGGTGTCAGCTGTCATCTTCTATGCACCCAGGCCTGGTGACAGGAGGGTCCCTGTGCTCCTCATCATTACCCTGCTCCTCTTCTGCCTCACAGCTCCATACCACAACTCTTTCTTCCTTCTCTGCCAGCTCAGCTGCTACTGCAAGGGAAGGAGGACACCGTGAGCCACCAGAAGCACTGGCTCCTCACTGTGGCACCCTGCGAGGCCTAAAGCTCAGAGCACCCTCACTCAGCCAGGCTGGTTTCCTCCTCGCAGCCCCAGCAAGGACGCTTCTCTAGTCTCCCGTCCTCTGCTTTCTGCCCTGCTGCCTCTCGCTCATAAAAAAAATCTGGCTCATGCTCAGTGGGAAGTGCTGGTGATCCTTCTGCAGCCTTCCTCCAGAGACAGCATGGCCCTGAGTCAAGGCTGAAGTTGTCCTTCAGAGCTGTCACTGAAATAAAACAGCAGAGGCCCAGTGTTGAATGGAATTGATCCCCGTGAAAATGGTTTTTATGCATGAAAATAGCACTCCATTACCACTGCCCCAAATGTCAGTTTGTATACTCTAAAGTTATGTCAGAATTTCCCTGAAAAAATGCTTTTTTTTTTCCTCAGTTACCTCAGCTTTTTCCTCCAAAAAAAAAGCTCAGTGTCACTTCAGAGTTTCTGCAGGTTCTCCCCCAAATATGTCCAATTACCCTCTACAGTGAACTCCACCACCCCCCCATCACTCCCCCCTCTAAATTATTATAGATTTTAAATTGTTATAGATTTTCCCTCAAAAAATGCTTAGTTTCCCTATATAAGTTACCTCAGGTTGTTCACTGACAGTATCATTTAATATCCTCTAAGGGTACCTCAGCTTTTCTACCCAAAAATGTAATTTTACGTCAACCAATGTCACTGCAGCTTTCCCCCCAAAATGCTCATTTTATCCCTTCTATGTTACCTCCTATTTCCCCTCTAAAAGTTCTCATTTTTGTCCTATCTAAGGTCCCAAATTTCCAACTGCTAAAATGCACGTTGTATCATCTAGTTGCTTCAGGTTTTCCCTCCAAAAATGCTTTTTGTCACCTAAAAGTTACCACAGATTTTCCCATGGAAGATAATTATTTTGTCCACTCGGCATTACTTCAAATTTTCTGTCCAAGAACCTTCATTTTGTTCCTTTTCTTAACTCAGATTTCCCTCCCTCCCAAACTGCACAACTTTCTCTCAAAATATCATTTTATATCTTCTTATATTACCACAGCTTTCCCCCCTAAAATGCTCATTTTACCCCCTTTGAGTTACCTATTTTTTCCCCAAAATAACAGTTTGTATACTCTAAAACTATATCAGTCTTTCCCTTAAAAAAAAAAAAGTTCATTTTTTCTCCTGTTACCTCATCTTTTTTTCTCCAAAAAAGCTCATTTAGTCCCTTCTGAGTTTCCACAGATTTTCCCTAAAATGTCCATTTACCCTCTACACTTAATTCAACAACACCCCCCCCCCAAAAAAAATAAATCATTTTCCCCTTCTAAATTACTATAAATTTTTCCCTCAAAAAATGCTCAGCTTTCCTGTGTAAGTTACCTCACTTTGTTCCCCAGAAGTGCCACTTTATATCCTCTAAAGTTACATTAACATTTCTGTCAAAAAATGCTCAATTTGTCTCCTATTTGTTAACTGAGGTTTTCCTTCAGGAAAAGCTTGTTTTGTCCCCTGTAAGTTTCCTCATGTAATTTTCCCTCTGTTACCTCAGATTTCCCCCTTCCCACATTGCTCCATTTCTCCCCAGGATGTATTCTGTAATTTTGTATCCTCTAAAGTTATGTCAGATATTCCGGGAAAAAGAGTCCTGTTTTTCCATCTAAGTTACCTCATATTCCCCCCTCCCCAAAAAATGCCTATGTTGTCGCCTCCAGGCTATCTCTAATTTTTCTTCCAAAAACCTTCATTTTGCCCTCTCCAGTTTACCTCAGATTTCCCTCCAAAACATCATTTTGTACCACTGAGAGCTGCCTCAGCCTTCCCCCCCCAAACTCAGGCTGTATTCTCCACAGCTACCTCTTCGTTTCCCTGAGAAAATGCCTTTTGTGCCCCCCAAGCCACACCAGCTTCTCTCTCAGAGAAAAAGCTTTTTTTTGTTTGTTTGTTTGTTTTGTTTTGTTTCTCCTCAGCGCCAGCCCGCGCTTTCCCTCAGGCCCTCCCGCCTCGCCTGACGCCCCGCGGCCAGGCGCTGTGAGGGGCCGGGGGCAGCCGCTAGGAGCTCGTTTGCTGCCCTTGCGGCTTTACCCCCTCCTCTGCAGAGCACCCTCTGAACAACACCTTTTTAAATCTTCCAGCCTGTGGGAGGAGGCCTGCAGAGCTGTGTGGAGCTGCAGCAGGACCAGACTTGCACAAAGTGGGAACACCTTGCAAGGTAATTGCTTGTGCTAGTTGCTTAAAGTGATGATTTCTTTTCCGTATCTGTTTCTTGCTGTAGTCCACAGAATGGCAAGACCTGGCCAGGCTGCTGCTCCCACCACACCTCATGCTAGGATCTGAGTGCATCCAGCCCAGGAGAGGGCTTACGCCACTGGCTGCAACACCAGAGGCCTCCTTTCCAACCTGCAAGGAAAATAAGGACTACTTAGTAAGTATGGCACAGGATGCATCCTAAAAGTCAGAATCCTATTTAATACATCAACGTGGGAGAGCTTGGTACAAAGGAAGGGACCAAAAGAAAAAAAAAAAAAAGAGTCAAGATCAGTTAGTTAGTTAAAGGCACCTATCACTCTTTTGCCTATCTAGGGGAGAAGTAACATTGACAAGGGAGAGAAATTGGGGAAAAATAAGAAGAGCAAAGATAGCAACAGAGAGCAGATTGATACTACAAAATGAGATATTATTATGGGAATCCCACTGAAATACCTTTAAACACAAATCTGGAAGAGCACACTATGCACTATGGCATGGTGAGTTCAATGCTCTGACCAAACTGTTTGGTGCAAGCTGCTTCATGACATAGTTATGTCTAGTCTTACTCTTTGTGCTACATGGAAAAAAAACCACACACACACACAAAAACTTGTATGCATTTTTAACTGCATTATCTCTCTGTTCAATAGCAAACCTGACTTCCAGTCAAGGAGTGTGTAAGGGAAAGTATTTAGATGCTATATTACATTTATACCACTACTCTTGAAAATCAAAATAGCTGTGGTAATTTTTGTTACTAAAATGCAGATTGACAGCTCTATAAACCTACAGGGAGTAAAATATTATGAAATTTAATTCATTAGGTTTAGAAGAAAAGAGAAAAAGGGAAATCTCTCTGCAAAGCCAACAAAGGAAAGGAGTGTTTTACTCCAGGAGTGGCAGAATGGGAGGTTATCCTACAAGGGGTGCTGTGGTTAGGGACTAACACCTGCACTCAGGTTCTTGGTCTTCAAACACCAGAGCAGGGTGGAAGCAGCAGTGATAAGTGCTTCCAACTCCTTGGCTGCCTTGACTGATGCATTCCCTATTCCTTCTTTTTTTTTCTCCACCACGTGCTGTGCTACCATCCACCCATTCTGACATGGCAGTGCATCTTCACACAGACCTTGGGATAAAGAGCCAGGATTGTGCGTGGTGAGTTTCTGAACTATTCTGACTTATTTTTATGTAGTCAGCTTCAGCAGCTAGGGAGAAATACACCCTTCCACAAACAACAAAAGCCTAGCAGATAAATAAGTCTTTTTCAAGTAGCTGGAATAAGAGCCAAAGTAAAAAGATGACAAAGATAAAGAAACAATCAAATCCATGGTAGGGATCATCATGAACTAGTGAGAAAGCTATTTTTCTCTTCTTTAAGAGCCCCATATGACTGTTTCCCACAACATTCTTGACTACTCCTTGCTCCCTACACCTGCTTCACTTCGCATCTCCACAGAGAAAAGCGGGTAGGACACTTCATGCCACAGACATTGGTCCTTAAACAAAAGGGAGAACTACTGTCTGCCCAGATCTCAGTTCTGCAGACACCAAGTGTAGTGTCAAAACAGTGTATAATGCTGTCAGTTAATGTTTCCATCTGGTCATAAGAAGAATCCTAGGAGGCAACAGTTGCTTAATACAATATTTAATTTGAAAGCAATACAGCAAGATTCCTTCACAGCCTTCTCTACCAGTTCTGAAGGCATTTAGGTTCAGATTTCTATTTCTTCCCATATGGAAGAAAAAATTCCTACTGATATGAAAGGGCTCTATTCCTAGAATACACAGTTAGTAGTAGTATTCCAGAAGTGACTACAGTCCTACAATTTATATGCCAGAACTGGAAATGGTTCCTGGGAGCAGAAAATGTTTTCCTGTGCTGACGCAAATCCTGACCAAACCACAACAGGAGACCGCTGTGTAAATTAATGATGAACATCTCTAAAAACCACAAGCATGGACTTCACTAATCCCACAGTTCTGATGCACACAAATACGCTGTCCTTACACCGATAATTTGTGACTCATGCTCATATGTAAACATTCAGAAAGAAAAATGCGCTAGGACCTGGCAAAGAGACCTTTTTAATACTGTCTGTGGAGACTGGGTTGGTAATGTTGGCCTGTAATGACTGATGTGTGGCAGATGGCAGCTGCCCTTGGGACATCATGCAACTTGGACGTGACGCCATGTGAGATCCAGGAAGCTGCAAGCAAGGAAAACATACGTTAGATAAAATATAAAACCATTCGCTATGCCGAGTGTTGTGCATGAACGCAAATAGACAGCTAAGCACCACAGAGACAATGGCTCACTTCCCATGTGTGCCTGGTGGGACAGAGAAAGAGGAAAGGAAGAGTAAAAATCAATAAGAACTTATTGGTTGAGATAAAAAAAATAAGTAAGAAGTGAAGAAGTAGTAGGGTAGAAATAAAACACAACAAAACAAGTGATGCAGAGGTAATTGCTTACCAGCTCACACAGTTAGACTTGTTGAGCCAGTTGCCAAGCAAAAAGATGCCAACCTCCCTCTTCCCTTTTTATTGCTTGACTTTATACAGTGTGGAATACCTCTTTGGTTCCTCTGGGATATCTGCCTGGTTGTGCCCCTTCCCAACCTCTTGCACACACCCCAGTCTGTTTTCAAGGTGGGCAGAGAGAGGAAAAACCAGCCTTGATGCTGTGCAAAACCACAGATAAAACATCATTGCGTTACCAGCACTGGGTTTGGTCACAAACCTAAAACATATCGCTATAGCAGCTGCTACAAAGAAAATTAATTCCATCCCAGCCAGGACCCAGAACACAGATAAGCAGGGAGCTGTGCTTACAATGAATGCAGTGTCAAGTATTGCCTGTTAATACAATTCTTCCCTCCTTACCAGCCTTGGGGGTCCCAGGCAGCCAACCAGGTGGTTGCACTATGATTTGGAACAGACAAGGGAAGATGTCCACTTCAAGAGGAAAAAAAAAAAACATCTCTAAGATGCAAATTTTACACAAACTAAGACAGGAAGTAGGATTTCAGTTCCTCACTAGAGTAAATGCTTTATCTGAGTACTGAAGTGTAAGAAAGAAAACACAAATAGATCTGAAGACACAGCACTTGTATCCTTGCTACTCCTCTGAGGCTTCCAGAGAGCGCACATTCGTGCCTTATGCAAACAAACACCATACCTAGACCCAGCCTGAGGGCAGGTCACAGTTATTCCCTGCACTAATACAAACTGGACGGTCTCTTCTCTCAAAAAAAACTTCTCACTTATGCGCGTGCAATCATTTTGGTGCGTGGAAAATTGGATCTGTTACCGCTTTACTTATAAAGCCAAACATGTATGGAGTAGCCTCAAATCCATTTTCCTAAACAAAAAAAGTAAAAATCCTGCCTTGTCAAAGGGATGTGTATGTGCTTCCATGTAAACTGTGAAAACAGGCTTACACTGTCTAAGGACAAACAGTTATGTTTTGTCTAGGTGATTTGCTGCCAAGGACAGGATAACCATTTCCATTCGTCATACCTGTGCGATTTAGGGTGTTGAACACCTGCAGTTTTTTTACTAGGGAAACTACCCCAGAGAAACTACCAAGGACTTGGTCCCTTCTGGACAGCAGTGCTGAAACCTCACACTTGCTGCTGTGCAAGTAACTGACTGTTCACCAGCTTTCCTCCTGACTGTCCATCTACATTCACAGAAAGTCTTAAACGTGTCCTTCAATTGCAACTTCTTCAGGGCTGTCTGACTCAAGAAACTGTACAGACTTTGATACTAAGTTGTTTTCTCTGCTTTCCTCTAAGTCAATAAGCAGTTCTACTTGTGCAGACTTTACTAAAGCACGGTGAGGTGTATGTCACTGGACAACACCACACACACAGCTACCTTAAATCAGCCATCCCTTTCTCCCAAGTTATTTTGGTTAATCGATAAGTTTTATAGACATTCATTTTGGAAAAAAATAGAAGTGAATAACCTCACCCAAATATATTTTTTTATCCATCAGATTCTTAGAAAACAGGACTCTTTGGGTTCTTTTACTTTGTTTTCTGCTCTAGAACAGATTTTCCTTTTAAATAGCTTGCCCTCAGCACTAGAATCCATAAATGGACAGAGAATATTTCTGATGTGCTTGGAGATTTGCATTCAGACACAAGTTACAGCTGGTTGCTAAATCTGCCTGAATACCGTGCAGTTATTATGACACCCTGTCCTGTGTACAGAATCCCCATTCTGTGCAGCAATTTCACTTCACTCGTAACAAGACTTCACAGTCTCCCATATCTGTGTTTTCCTGTCAGCCTCTCCTCTAAAACCTCTTGCACTCCTTTTAAAATAGAAAGAAGGAGTACCACTTTCAACTTCTCATTTGAGTTTGCCAAATTTTATATTTTAAATGCCAGTAATGAAATCAAACGTGCTTCAAAATCTCCTTCACGTCTCCCCACCTTCAATATTTAAAGGGGCTTTTGGAAGACCACCCTGAACAAGAAGTATCTGAGTAGATGCTTGTAACCTATATGTATGAAATCCTATTGGCAGCATCCCATCTTCTGAAACTCAGGTGATATTTTATAAAAAATATTTTTAGCAATTTGGTTTCCTCTGTCCCACAGTTGTTGCACAGATTATTTCCCCCAACACACTTGTGCTCAAAATGCTAAGATGAACACTTGACTGATTCTTTAGTTTAGCCACTGACTGTTCTGGTCATGATTTAGAGATTACACCACCAGTAAATCCTGTAGGAGGGCAGCTCTGAATCCACAGGAGATGGCCCTGGCTAATGATTTAGGCTACATGCTTATCCTCAAAATATCTAAAAATACAATCAGCCATGTTTGATATCCAATTCCTCAAAGCTCTTTTCTTGTCCATTCTCCTTTCCTTCTTCCTTTGTCTTGAGGAGTTAAGGTTCTCAATTATATTAACATCTATGAACCCCTCTGCTTCAGAGGCTTTGTCTTTGTATAGCTGCCTCCTGTTATCGTAAGTTAAACTGAATTTTTGTCCCTGGGTGCATTTGTTATAACTATCCTTATTCATTCTGGTATAGGATCTGTTCCTATTCATTCTTAAATCCTTTCTTTGCCATGCTGCAAATGCTACTGTGTTGTCAGGGTGTTCTCTAAGTCATTAATTTCCCCATGTGCCTCATTATCAATAGTTACTTCAGTCTCGTTAGGATTATTAAATACATTTGAAGCAATGCTGTGGTACAAGTCACATGCAAAGGCACATGCTTTGAGGGGGCAGGTGTCTCTATTCTATGTTCAAAAAAGCTCAGGGTACTTTGCGTATGCTGCATCAGTTTAATAAAAGTATCTTGCTTTGCATGTGAAATTAAAAACATTTTGATACAACTTCCTCAGTTGTGCTTACGTGTTCTGGCCTGAGGACTAGTGAAAAGTCTTCAAAACATCCCAATCAGTAACACTGCACAGAAATTGCCTCAAATACAAAGTAAAAACATTGGACCTTACAGGGACAGTGAAGAAACAAGGCCAAAATCTATTCAGCCACCTCCTAACCTTGAGGCTTCCTAAGGTCTTAAGAGAGGGTCTGAGCTCTAGCCACATACCGCTGGGGTTTTTTGTATTCTTTTTACCGAGAACTCATGAGATTACCACACTAGCAAGACTTGGTTAACGTGCCAGCTAACTCCTCCTTCATAATGAGAAGATACAAATTAAGCTCTTCCATCAGAAGATATGTTCACAGAAAAAAAAAAATAAATCCAGATTTGATTTACTATGCATAATTTATCAACTCAGCTTTTTTTTTTTAATTTTTAACTAGGGTTCACATTTTTAAAGGTATTGAACAGCCTAAGATGCTACACATGCACTTCAGCAGGATTTTCTAGTTATCTAGAAATATCTAGATACCTAGAAAATCCTGGGTGTTCTAAAATCTCGTCTCGATACCATCAAAACTAAATGGCGTGGGTACTCTAACTCAGCCTTCTCAGCTGTAAAATTCTGGTGTCATTCATTATCTAAAATGACTTGCATTACATGGCCCTTATGGAAGCCATTTATACTTTATGGAGTACAAATTTTCAAATGGCTTTCAAGAGTCTTTTTTTTACCTAAAAATTTATCACTTCACTTTGATCATTTTTAGGATGATTTTTCCTCATCCAGGCTAGGAAAAAGTACCAGCTGAGAGCGATTCCCGTCATATATACTTAAAACTGAACAGATGGAACTCAAAATGCTCCGCAAACACTGGAGAGCTCAGATATAAAGCATGCCTTTCAGACCAACTTCATTATACATTATTCAATTTGTCACACACCCCCAGCCCCCGGCCCTTTCTGAAACACATAGCTGGTACTGTTTGCACTTTAATTAGCAATTGTTATCTCCAGTGCAACCTCTATGCCAATTAATGTGACGAGGGAGATCCAAATCCAATTCCTATTGTATGCACAGTTACATTCCCTTCACTTCTTAGTGACAATTACATTGCAGTTCCTTGTGCCCATATGTTACTGGCTCCAAATTCCTTATTTGGCCAGGGCTCATTCTGTAGGGTTTTAAAAACAAAATCCTTCTTCCTTCTTTCTTTCACTCTTGCTTGAAAAATCAGCAGGATTTTATCTAGAAAAGTTGACAGCCTTCAAAAATGGTTGACTTTACAAAAATGTGCTACTGTGCTACAATATTATGAGATGAAATTAAAAGTGTAAATTTTACATTTGAAAAAGTTAATGACATTAGCCCTCTATTTTTATTACGGTAATCTCTGTAGTCCAGGAAAGCGCGTAAGCATTCCAGTTATACTGATATACAGTGGTATAGTCATTTCTCAACCAGATAACACTGGTTTTCTAAACAAAGGTCTGTTTTATCTGGGAACTAGCTGTAGCTATCAATGTTATCAAACTAAAGGAAATGGTCCATAGCTTTGTACTGGTACAAATGGAGAGAAACTGTGAAAAACATGCTACCTGTGATCTAGTTGTGGCACACCGAGGTGCTGAGCACAACTCCAGCATCTGACTGTGCAAAACAAACAGGGCATCTGTCAGAATTTCAGATATAGGGGATGGATGCAAGGAATCCATGATGAGAACTATACAAAACTGGGCTGCTGACATTTTCCTCACAAAATGAATACTTGGCCAACAGTATGTGAAATGCCAATGGGAACTGCATGACACATGATGCTCCGTGCGTATTTGAGTGATGACGGGAACAAAGATGCACCATAGCTCCCCTAAGGGGTGTTTCAACAGCAACACCGAGGAACTCGAAGTTAAAGTCTAAAAAAAAAAATCACAAGACCTCCTCACTAAAACAGTCCTTTATGAAACCAAATTGAGAAAGTTGAACAAAGACTTCACCTGAAACCAGCCTTTTTCTGGAGCATTCTCCAAGCAAGCAGTCAGAGCCCTCCAAGGAACAGCTGCAGCTCTACTGCTTCCTTCTCAAAGCAGCTGCTGGGGACAAGGCTTCATGCAGTCACGGGAACAAAGATAACTGTTCTGATACTATGGTTTCTGCTTTTTTTTTTTTTTTCCTTTTCTTTCTTCATTGTCCTCTGCAACATGATGTTCACTGGCCTTAACCATCTACTCTAATCTAGCAAGTGAGCAGTATTTCCATAGCCAAAGTGCTCTTTACTCTCCCTATCATTTTTCAGTTAGGCCAAAAGTTATCATCTCTACTAATTTCATTAAACACTATCTGCTCATGCAAGTGTTTTATGTGAAGGTCTAGATCTGACAGAAAGCTAATTGCTGGCTCTGTGAAAGCTTTAGCCAAACAATTTTCTTTTACTTGTAAAGGAGAATGATACAGAACTACACGTATTTTGATCCCGAATAAGCTAATCAAAGTTTCATCTTGAGGAACATAGCAGTTCATTTCTGCTCTAACTAGGAAATTACCCACTTAAGCCTCAAGAAAACCAACAGCTTATCAGCTCTCCTGGCAGGTCTTTCTCAGCAGGCTGCTAGCATTCTCAATTATATTTTGGTATAACGTAACAGAGTAATCTTGCCACCTCTCACTGGCACCCAGAGGAGAGGATTTTAAGAAATGGATCAAAAATTACCTACTTCTGTATTTACATAAGGTTGCCACCTTGTGTAAACAGTTTGAGAGTGTGCTTGGATACTGGCACCTATATACAATGCAATTCACATATTGGGTGGGTGTAATTAACACAAAAACACTATCAATTTGCACTGTGTATCTGTGGATATGCTGAATGGATGCATAGAGTATTCATAGTTTTATAACAACAACGGACACGATGCAAGTTAGATGGAGATTTAAAATAAAGAACAGTGCCACTGAAATAATCCCTGGGATCAAATATTTATCATGTCAGAGGAATACCTTGAACAGCAGTGCCCTCTCCAGCCCAATTCTGCAATACTAAGACACAACAACACACATCTGTTCTTCAAGCAAACAAACCAGCTCATCCAACCTCCCCTTGTGGGATTTTCAAATCAAAATTTTCATAGTTTACCTGGACTGGACAGGCTACACTCTCGGTCTGCACTCTTCTCCAGGAGAGCTTTCTTAACCAAGACAGTAGCACAGGTGAATTGCTCTACAAGCAGAACTGAGTAGAAAATAAACGTGACTTTTCTCTTACAAGGCATGTTGGCATTTAAACTCCTCCACACAGGTTTTTACTTCTTACCCTCTTACAGCACAAGAACATTGACTCATCCAAGCAGATTAAAAATGCTTATTAAACATCACAAATAAGCAACAAATGTAGAGATAAAACCAGTCAGCATGGCTACATAAGCAAGCCAGAGGCTACATGGCAATTGCTAAGAGCTGAAGCCTCTCTTTGGAGCCTTTCTAAGTCCTCCTGCCAGCCCAGGACCACTGAGGACAGGAAAAGCACCTCTGTCAATGTTTGAGTAAGGAAATGGCAATTTTCAGTTGCGTACCTCTGCACACCTTCTCCCTCACAGCAGTATCAAACAGATAGCAGGAGAAAACAAAACAGTCTTGCCAAAGATACAGAAAGGCACACCTGTGGAGTACAGGTAAAAGCTGCTAGCACTATCACTTGTCACATGGGCCCAAAGCAGCTCTTGCTCTGCTTCACCAGTGGAATAAAAACATCAACTAGTTGAAACTCAAGTGACATGGCTTAAGCAAATTACTTTTTCCAAGTCACTGGAACGTGCCCCTCCTCATGTACAATGATCCGATGACAGAAAACAAATGAGGAAGCCTTAGTACCTTGCTTTCACTGGCTTATATAACCCCTTCTAACAAACCCACAACACTGTCATGGTTTGCTGTCTTCACTACTTAAACACTTAAATACTGGACATCCTATCCACTGCAAACCTGGTCTTCCCTTCTCTGAACTTATCCTTGCTCATTTTACCTGTTTATAACATTTGCCTTTTGCTTCAATTTCCTCAGCGTATCTTGGTGTTTGGACAGGATGCTTATAATCTGCTCCAAAATACACTTGCTTTGCAGGGGCCTGCACGTGAGCAAAGAGATGTCGCTGCTGCTCTTGGCTCCCTCATTTCCCTAATCACAGAACAAAAGGAAATGCCTAGGATCCACTGCTCCCAAGTGCCCTCACAGTTTGAGTCCCAAAACCCAGCTAGGTTATGACGAGGGAAAAAAATGATTTCCTAACTCAGTGCATCTTCTGCAGCCATAGCTGATCTCAGAGGAAGATGAAACACAAAGCTTATTGCTTTACAGCTCATCCCAAGCCACAGAGTTGGCCAGCAGCAGCAGCACGGTGCTAGGAAATAGGAAAAGGTCCTCAAGTTACTGAGCCTTGGTGCACAGAGCACAGGCAGCCACATCAGCACTTCACAAGGGTGCGACACCACAGAAGGGAAGAGCATGGTCCAGGCTGAGAAAGGGAAATGATGCTAATTACTAATTTGTCTTAGAGTAGCTTCCCACCACCCTTGAAGTGTTTTTTCTTCCCTTTTTTTTTGTTTTTTTTTAAAGACATTGAATGACAGCTTGCACATAATTCTGTGCAGGCTCTGCTGTAGAGAGGGAAAGGCAAAGGCCACCTTCCATAGACTTCAGAGAGGAGAAGGTAGGCTGCAGATGTCCCGCAGCTGTACACAACATCTTTGTTTCACTGGAAGCTCATTGTAAATCTGTTGTTTAAACCTGTTGCAATGATTCTTAATTGAGAGGACTTCAGGAATATCCTTGCATCTGACCCTCATTTATAATCCTACATAAGGTGCTTTGGTTCAGGTTTAATGCCCCTTTGGGAAACACAACAGACTTACGGAAAAGCTGAGTTACTGCATGCACTTTGAGAGCTGGAAAACTGAGAAGGGAAATCTTGCATTGATCAAACTTGTGAAGGAGATATCAGCTAAAATAAGGGCCCCAAATCTCCCCCAGGCCCTAATAAATATGCTAAGTTCACTCTATGGACATATATATTATGTGAGCTTTAAGGGGTACACAAGTATGATTTCGCATGTCAGAGGAAGCAAGGGAAGCTTGAACTGCTTTGTGCTGGAACCATCCTAGAAACTGACCTTGTTCCTGTGCAAGGTTCACAAGCCCCATGCCACAGCACCACGTATCTCTGATTTCTCCCCTTTTAGTCCTCCAGGCCCAAGCACAGATGATTAATGTAGGCTGAGTACATACCAGTGTAAATGGAAACTACCAGAAAGGAAAGATTGAGGGGCAGACATTTCCAAAGTAAATCCAACAGCTCTAAAAACTTACTTTTGCATGTGTGTTTAAGAGCTCCATTTTGGTTGTACTGAATAGCCCAAAAGAAAGAACAGAGTTCAACATCCAGGCATGACCAGTTTGGCCCAAGATTACGCAATCATCTGGAGCTAGCACCAACAGGCCAGAGACCAATTCCTCTAACTACAGCAGACTTACATCTGATACGTTGTACATGCTAGCAACATGCAAAAGCACGAAAGTCTATGCCAGACCAATTCAAAACCTGCTGAGTGAGGCCTGTTGAAGGACCTCAAGAATCCCTCTACCCCAAACTCACACATGCCCAGCTCAGACCATGGACACCCCCAGCTCCTAGCTCTGCACAGTCACTAGGCACAAATTCTGCCCAGAAGAGCACTTAACTCTTGAGACAGGCTGGTAATTCTTCACTTAAAAACAAAGATCAAAATGGGAAAACTTGTACAAGTGATTATGATACAAGTTAGATACAATGCCTCTTACTACCCACAGCATGTTTTGAGTTAATTTATAATAAAAATGACATAATTATACAAGATAATTTACATTGAACCATAACTTAAGCACACGTCATACCCATTAGTATAGGGCTTCTAGATCAAGATCCAGTATCTCAAAACACATACTGCTGATCACAGTAAAATAGTTCTCACACACATAAAACCACATCCCTGCTTCCTTCAGGCCAGTACCCCATCACTCTGCTCATGTAAAGCTGTCAGTAAATCTACTCACACGAGGCCTATGATGAAGGTAATGCTCCACCAGCACAAGGAGATGTCTTCCAGCAGCTACGCTGCCTTTGGAAGAGACAAGGTATTTTCTTGTTCCAAGAAGATTTCTGAAGAAAAATCCAGTGACAACTCCTTGGATGAGGCCCCAAAAGTGGTCACCTCAATGATCCTCCTGTTCACTACTATTTGATAAGCAGAACCTGATACTAAGGTCTAAGAAGTTGACAAATGATCAGCAAGGCTTCATGGTTTCAAGGCAAGGGGCCCTCTCAGCAAGGCTGGCCCTTAATCACTTACTTTGGCAGCAGTACTGTAGATGTTTTCAATTAAGTGAAAAACAAAGCCTCCAGAGAACATGTCTTTAGCCCAAATAAAATCTCTTGAGCATCACTTTTTTTTTCTCTGTGTCAGCAAAGTTGTTGAGACAGCTGCTACACACAGGTGGTACTCCATACTGTGCATTACACTGCTTTTATGGGTGCCTTGAGACTCCAAGTCTCTGAACAATTAATTTTACCACTGCAGCTTTGACCTATCAACACTTTTTATCACTGCAATAGCTCCTTATCAAATCCACATGTGCAGGTGCACCATAACCACCTTAGGGAGAGCACAGGGCCTGCAGCAGGTACAGCTGGGAGCAGAATAGAGAATAATGGGCAATAAAAATAGAAGCAGCAGCCACCAAGGCAAAACTAACCCAGGCTAAAGCAAAATAACACAACTGTCACCTCTCCCCTGTGATCAAAAACACTCCCAGCCCCCCCATCAGCGGGGTCCTTGCCCTCAACACAAGTGCACGCAAAGAACATTTCTGTAAATGTCTCAGATAACCTGCCACTGAAGATAAAGACTTCATATGCAGGCTGTTCAGGCACCAGCTTAGGAGCAGCTGTGTTTGGCTCACCCATGAGCCCTCTGACAAGGGGCAAGTGTGATCAACACCTTACCACACTCAGCTCTGCCCAGGTATTACCAGGCCCACCTAAACCACAAGAACCACAGCCAGGCACTGACCTGGGGAGCCTTCCTCCACCTCCAGACCTTGCAGGAGGGTGTCCCCTTGTGCAGTCAGCTTTGTACTGTGCTCAGGAGCTGGCAGAACCCAGCTGTATGGGGACATGGGTGTAATGGGAAAGGTTTGCCTCAGGTTTGACCGAAAAAACTGGAGCTTGAGAAAAACCTTTTCTGGAGGAACTTTTAATTGTAGTATGCCAAAAATGGGAGTAAGTACTCAAAAGGAGAATCCTGCACCAAAAAACAAACAAACAAACAAAAAAAAAAACAGCAACCTAGCACATTTGTTTTCTTCCTTCTTCTTTGGGTTAAGAACCAGGTTTTTCAGGACTTAGGCTTTGCTGCTGCATGCCTTGGCTGTAGCCTTCCGTTGGTATTTAAACACAACAGCTCTGCCAATTTTGCAAATCCATTGTCACAAGGCTGCAAAATCAGACATTTCATTCTGTATAAAATTTAAACAGGCTAATGTCTGCCAAGTTACACGCTTCACCTTTTGACACTGACAGTAGCTACACACAGTACTGGCTAAGTCTCTAGAGGCACATGTCAAGGTTTCAGTGACCTACCAAAAATTAAGCAGTAAATCAGCACAGGCAGCAGCAACTGGGATTTTCTCTTGCTGGGAAGACAAGTCAGATCATCCCTCTAGGAAAAGGGAAAGAGACAAGTGTTAATCCAACAATTTGTAAATCAGCAAAATCATTTAGCAAATACCATTGTGTTCTTCAGATACACAGAAGACCAACCTTGTTAAGTCTTCACTTCTTTTAAGAACTAAAGCTACCACTGGCCATGACCAACAAGTAATCAGATTTAATAAAGATTATACCATTTTCTTGATATACAGAGCTCATTCTGAGTAGCAGTCTTACCTTTCTCCCTGCAAGGTAACACTTATTAATACACATGCCTCACATAAAACAATCTTCTGATCAAAGACCAGAAGCATTCACATGCCTATAACATGAAAATTGGTCAAGGACCCTAGAGACCCTCAGATGTAGGTCTGAACTCCACAGATGGTATTAAGAGTAATAAGTCACCCTGTCCTGAATTATGAAGGCATCAAACGAACACAACAGAAAAAAGAGCTCATCGAGAAACACTCATGCTTTTTGGCTCTCTGAAAGTGCCATAAGCAATGCTAGGCAAAAAGTAGCCTCTTAACTAGTGAATTTTATATATTCATAGACTCAAATTACAAAGTAAACTTTCATATTCATCATCCCCATGGCTCAGGTCTGCCAAGTCTGTTTGGGATTCACCTGAGAATACTTGAACTCACTGCAAGTGTTTTGTGTTTCTGACCACATGAATATAATGAAGTTTTCTCTTAACTTTTTAAGGAGCATTTTGTCTCTTGTTTCACTTACTAATATGGGGATGAGGTGGGGAAATAAGTCTTTTTTGTCATTGTAGTAGTGTACTTAAACACAACATTGTGCTTGTTTCTTTTCAAAATAGGATCAAACAATAACATCTGGATCTAGACTCCTATCCATGCAGTTTAAGAATGGAACGGCTGTATCCACACTGGTGAAGCAGGAGAAAAAAGGACAGCAAGGTAAGCCTTTTGAAGAAGGGACAGCACAAAATGCACTTTGTGGACAGACATTGGAGGGACTCTCATCTGAAAAGCACAATTCTGCCTAAGGGCAGAAAGACCACACCACGTTGACAGGACTCACTCAAAGCGACTTCAAATTATAAACAAATTTTTGTCACATACCTGTTAAGAAAGGTTTCTGACATCCAGTCCTTCTTCCCCTGTTTTCCTGACAGCTGACATCCTGCACAGGCAGTCAGCCCAAAAGCTGAGCCTCTCCTAACTGGGCACTACTATCCCTTCTTATTCCTGGATAGCTCCCAGCAGCTGCACACAGCACAATGATGGTCTGATCCTTGCAGTTAGGACACCCCTACACATTTAGAGCATTGAGACTTCATAGCCTCTTAGAACTAGCTATATTTTTCAGACTGCTCTGCAGGCACTGCTGCTTCCATTCAACTCCAAAAGCCTCCTAGTATTTCTTATTCTTACCTGAGCTCCCTTTTACCTCTTCCTCATTATCTATCATCACTCTGACCACATCCAGCCAGCAACCACTCTCACCTCAGTTTACCCCTCGTAACATCTCCCTGCTCTTTTCCACAGCCCCTGTGCAGTCGTTCCCTACATACGGTATTTCCAACACAAATTCTTCAGCTGTGGCTGCATCACTGAAGGAAATCACTCAGCTCCTGACTTACCTGGATTAGACACACTTGAGACCAAAGAACCTTCAGCAATTTAAAACGTTCAGGTATGAACTCCCCTTAGGATTCTCCCCTTGGCCACAATCCTCCCCCCAGTGTCAGCTGCTGAAGAGCACCCTGTGGGAAGCCAGTGCTGGGGCAGCTAACAGCCTCCCACCAAGGAGAGCCTGTGCCAACATTTACAGCCATTTACACCAGCTGGGCTGAGCTCTCCAGGCCCAGAAGGAAGCGAGCTGGGACTGAGCCCCAGCAGCCTTCCCAGGGCACAGCCCTGCAGAGCCAGGCTCTGCTGCTGCCCTGTCTGCCAGCAGATGCACGTCACCAGCTCCTGGCTCTCCATCCTCATCCCTGGAGCTACGAAAGCAGCCACAGCCGTGCAGGACAGGCTGGCCGATGCTGCCTGGCTGGGGAGAGGGGATCCTGCTGCATCGTCCTGCTTTTCTCATCACTGCCACCACCACAGGCACAGCAGCCAGGTGGGGCTGTCTGGTTTGGCCCAGGTGCTGTCACAGACCTTTCCCCTTGTCCCTTCCCCACAAAACGCTGTGGTCCCCAATCTACAATGGGAAATGGGCATGGGGTTGGATGAACAGCACCTTGTTCTGAGGTCAAACACGCACAGCTCTTCCTTAGGAACCGAAAGGATGACCTGATGCACCAACCAAGGGAAACTGGGATGTTTCTGAACGCAGTCTAAGAACCTCAGCACACAAAGCGCTAAGATATTACTGTCCCAGGAGATTTGTTCCTGTAACGGAGCATTACAGCACAACATCATGGGCGTCACAACATCACAGAGCCATTAAGGGTGGAAAAGTCCCCCCGGGTCACCTGGCCCACCCTTGGCCCAGCCTGGCCGCCTGGGTTCAGCTCGCTCCCTGCTGTCCCCAGCTGGCAGCAGCTCTGTCCCCTGCGGTGTCCCCCTGCACTCAGATCCGCTGCGTGTGGGTTCAGCGAAAACGTGCCAGGAGCAGTGACAACTATGGAAATGGTGCAGCTGCTGGGTGTCGGTGTGATCTGGATGTGTTTCTGCCCGTGGGCACCAATTCCTAGCTCCCCGTCCACCTGGATCTCTGGATTAATGCTTGCTTTTTGCCACGAGAGGGAACCCTTCGCCTCACGACACTGCGTTTCCCCAAGGCAAAGCTGGTCTTGAAATTCACACGCATTAAAGGAGCTCGCAGGGAGAGGAGCCGTGAAGGCAGAGCCGTCTGGCAAAGGTCAGTCACAGCTGCCCGTGAAAGGCGCAGGGCAGCAGAGCACAGGATGCACCGAGTGTGGATAGGGGTGGAAGCAGCACAAATACTGACTTTTCAGACTTCGTTTGTGCAATTCACAAGGCACAAGACCCAGCAGCTCACAGGAGAAGCATGCAGTGCTGCTTGACTTTTATTTTCCATTCACATTTTAGGCTATTTTCAAAGCTCCTGCCCTGGATTGTGCCAAATGCTGACTGATGGGAGCAGCTGGACTCCTGAGGGAACCATTTATTCTAAGAGTGCTATTCACTTTCCTACTACGAAGTGTCCAGCAAATTTGTAAAAAAAAAAAAAAACAAACACCAACTCTTTAAATATTTATATCCTGGTCATGTTTATATCCTACTTGGATATTAGGTGAAATTTCCTTATTGTGAGGGTTGTGCAGCATTGCAATATGCTGCCCAGGGAAGCGATCACCATCCCTGGAGATCTTCAAGAAATGCGTAGATGTAGAACTTAGTAGCATGGTTTAACGGTGGACTCGTCCGTATTAGGTTGAAGGTTGGATGAGATCATCTTAGAGATCTTTTACAATCGGAATGATTCTATAGTTCTGTGAAATGTGGTAGACAAGGAAATGAGACACTTTAAAAGGGAGGTTTTTAACCTAATTTTATGATCTATAGCACTGTTTTGGTATCTTGCTTGGCTTTTTTCCTCACTGATGATGTTCCCATTTCTCAGTAAGAATCTCACTGGAGCTGTGCTCAGTGTTTGCTATAAACACATGGCAGGAATATCACAAAGGCAGTGAAGAAGCTGACTTGGTCTGTTCCTGAGTCGCCAATACAGGCAGCCTGCAGGTTGCAGAGTCCAAGGAACCCATGCAAACTGGCTGTCACAGCTGGTGGCTGTGCAGTAAAACAGGAGCTAAACTGCAGCAGCTGTTTGTACAAGCTGCTGAATGGGCATCGCCTTGCCTGCAAGTCAATTTAAACAGTTTGTTTGACATTCAGTCCTAGTAAAGGCAGAGGAATACGTTCCACTGAATTTAATGAAGGATGGAGTGAGACCACATTCAGCTGCTTTTGTTTCCCTGCCTCACTGCAAGCTAGCTGCAGGTTTCCAGCATAGCTCAGTCTGTGGAGAGTGTTAACAGCTATACACTGTTGAAGAGGGAGCAGACTATGAGCACTTCAAGCTAGTACTACTTAGCAGTATCAAAAAGCAGATTTTCTTTTTGGGGACTGGATGAACACTAAACATTATATATATGCGTGGGCACACACATCTCACAGCAATTTTTGTTATAAGCCACCCTCCAAAAAAAAAAAACAAAACACATCCCATCATTTTGATAGTTTTTTTTTATTTATAAACTTTTCCCATTTTATGCATAAGTACTTAAATAGGTTTTAAATGCAGAAAGAAAACCAATATGATAGATTTAAGGAAGCCAGCAATTAGATAAATTTATATGTAGAATTTCAGTTGCTTACAAAGCAATTATACAAATTCTTTAACTCAGAGTTTAGATAAATAAACTGACAGTTCAATACATTCTCTTTTTATAATTACATTCCTCACAGCAGTCCAGATTCTTCATTCTGAATTGTACTTGTTGTCCACATATTTCAGAAGAGACAGAGAAGAGGGGCTATCCCTGGGACAGAGCCACTTTTCGTGCAGCTCAGTCTCATGCTCAGATGCACTACAGAAAAACCATGCATTTGCTGCTGAATATTTTTCTCAAATCTTTTCCAGTTTATATAGGGTCCATATACTTCAGCTCATTTCATTTCTAGGGCTGTATGCACAGGACCTGTAAATTGAAGAAAAAGAAGCTGAGTCAATGCAATATAAACAGAACTAAGTCAAAATGTCTTTAACACAGAAGTGCTTCAGACACCAGCTCAGAGTCAATGAAATTACACTGTCATAAAAAAGAGAAACAAAGGCTAGGGGGGACTTAACAGTGTGCCAGAGATGGCAAGACATTGGAAGGAGTCAGTTAAGATCATTACACTGTGCTTAGTGCTGCAAATTGCACTTTTTAAAATTATTATTATTATTATTTATTTGGAGTCCGTAGAAAATGGGTTTTGACATTCATTTTTTGGGTCTGCTACAAATATCTAGTTACTATCTCTTTGAATTCATTTGCTCCTCAACATTCCTGTACACCATTTGTACACCATTCTTCCCCTTACCACAGGGCACTAACAACCCCCCCCCTTTTTTTTTTGGTGCAGGACAAAACTCTACTTTTGCTGCTAGAGAACTCATCCAGGGCTGGGTAGATGGAAACGCCTTTCTTCATCTCCCACACCAGAGCAGAGATGCAGGTAAGCACTCAGGACAGACACGCAGACAGCAGAGTGAAAGAGAAAATTGTGAGGTGTCTGCTACTTGCATCTAGTTTTCTGTGCAAGTGATGAATTTTCATCACAGCCTCAGAGCTGCCCCTTCAGGCCTTGTGGAGAACCAAGAAGCTGGCTACTAAGTTGTCATACAGCCCAAGTATTGCCCTCATTTGGTTGGCATCCCTGCAAGGAGTTTGGCATTTCTGTTTGGATTTTTCTTAGTCACCCCTTTTCAGCCTCCACCAGCTTTACTCACCTCCTTTGCCATTCATTTATCAGTACCAACACCGACCTTGTCTGCAGCATGCAAGAAGGTGGAACAGATGCCTCAGACAACACTCACCTGCCTTCTCCTATGAGAAGAACCAGGAAACAGGGGTTAAATATCTCCCCCAGTGTGTGGGGAACAGACACAGAAGTGACCCAGCACAGGCTCTCTGAGAAGCATCTTGTTTTCTTTCTTCCCCCTCCAGGCATAAATGTGGCTGGATGACTTCAGAAAAAAAAACTTCTCTTGGGCCTCAAAACTAAATTATGCTTCTATTAAAAGAAGCTGGGAAGTGTTTGGGAAAAAGCTTGTCACTGTTTAAGAATTGCTGACTAAGAAAACACCTGTACTGGCCTTGATAAGTGAAAGAGATAAGGGTACCTTTGCACAGTGAATTTCTCTACCATGGGGCTCACTGATGACTGAGTAATCTGGAAGAAAGCTGAGTTGTTGAGGCTAATCACATTTATTTAACAAATTGCTTGCAAACCAGTGACAATCAGCAAGGTATGAATTTCCTGCATCACCTGGTAATCAGAATCAGCTGTTGGAGGGAGAATTAACCTCAGTGCATCAGAGTTTTGAGTTCATACATTTGGGTGGATGCAGGGTAAATGTGCAAGATTCTCACACTGAACGAGAAAACAGACAGATTGACACGTACAGAATCCCAGGGATTTCAGGCAGGTCAGATTCAGCCAAAGCTCTTGTCCTTTCCCCTTGCCTTGAGCACAGTTGAGCCTTGTAGTGAGTGATAAAACAGCAAAGGCCAGAGAACAGCTGGAGCCTTGCAAGTGGCCAAACTTACAGCCTTAGATTGAGGGTGTTTGTAGTCCATGAGTTTGGCCTCTTTTCCCCTGTGCCTGTTTGCATTAAAAACCCTGCTCGGGGCTGTTGAGGTCACTCTTACACTAACCAGGCCTCAGAGTCACTCTGACTGTGCAGACAGGGTGTTTCCCTGCCCAGCAGGGGCTGTCTGTCTCCTGAGGCTGTCTGTTCCTTCTGGAGGTGACAGCAGGATCCTGGCAACCTACTCCTGACTGGGGGAAGCAGCACCAAGCAGATGTGCATGCTGTGCTCTGCTGTGCATGAAATGGGATTGGGTTTCTGGTACAACCCTCTCTCCGTGACTCTCACCCAGATACTGGGGTTGTGTGAGGAAACATTCCCCTCCTCGCTCCCAAATTAGTCCCCATCTGTCAAGCCTAAGGTCAGGTCTGCATCTTGGCAAGGAAATGGACTAGGATGGGTTCTTGTGTCCTTACATTCAGGATTTCACAGGTCCCATATGCAGTGAAAACCAGCCGAGCTCCTCTTTTACTTGCACTACTCAATAAGCTGTCTCTGAACAGCCGTGGCTTTCCCCCGCTGCACTCCCCACGGGCTTTGTGGCAGAGTGAAGGATTTTTATCTTTATTTGACACTCAGTTAGAGCTCAAGTCTTGAGAGATTTAAGGCCCCTGGTGAATTTTGCATTCTCTCAAGAGACTTGTGTACAGCTTTGTGTTTAGACACCTCTGACAGTTCAATGATTTGCCTTCTTTCAGACAACAGAAAGTGAGGGAAAGCTCAGAAAATTGAAGCCAGTCTTCTCGGCTGTATGGAAGCATGCTGCCATAAATTCATCCTTCTTTCTCATTTCTTGCAGGGTGGCACAACAATGGCACTTTGTATCCTTGAGTTCTCTATGGCTGAATGCTGTAGGGCAACTATCTTTCTTCCTGGCATGGCAACGAGCATTTGTGATTTGCTTCTTTACTTCTTAAACTAGGGCTAAACGAGCAGGAATAAATCAAGACCCTCAGATGCACACACCTGAGTGTGTCTGCTGTTGAACATACAGTTTCATTTCTCACTGCTTAAGTGGCTGCATGACCGTGCTCAGATAAATGGTTTAAATGGTTGTGGTGCTTTCTAAGTGTGTAAGATCTTTTGAGATTAAAAACCAAGGAAAATGGATTGACACTACGTTATGGTTAACATTTTCTACATGGTACAGTTTTAGGGACAGAGGGGAGGCAGTAATCATGACACGGAATGCAGCGTGAGTAAAATGAGACAATTCCTTCCAAAGGTGGAAAGCAAGGAGGAGGTTGTGCAGAGAGCAGACATGAAGAGGTGAAATTAATGACAAAAATTTAACGTTGTGGAAAGCTTAAAAAAACTGTTTTTAAATTAGATCCAGCTCTCTATTCACTATCATGTTTCCAGTTCCCTTGGAAATTGGGATAACCTGGGGCTCACTAAAAAGTCTCATTTATGAGAAAGGGATTCTCTGATCTGTGTTGCAGTAAAAGAACCTCAAAGTGAAATATGATGCTGAAAAGAGGGAAGCATCTTTTCATAAAGACCTCATGAAAATTCCACATGGCAAGAAAAAAGTGATCTTTTCTGCAAGCTTCATACATCAAAGTCCTATTTCTCTGCATCCTTTGAAACGCGTCACCTTCTCGCAAGAGGTAAGATCAAAATTAACTTTATGGGTAAAAGACTGCCTTTTGAAAGTAAGCAGATAAAAGACATGAGCTTTGCTCAAAAGGAGAAAGTGTATTTAAATGGAAAACTTGATTTGTGAAGACAACCCCATGCTTGGGTACTCTCACGTGCAAGAATGCTTTCTTTTTGTTCTATGTCATGATGGAGTTGGATTTTACTAGGAGCTTTCGGCCTCTCCTCAGTAATAACTAACATCCCTCTAGCAGGCAGTGATCAAAACCCAAGGGAAGCCTGGAGCAGCTCCCTGTGCTGCAGATGAGGAGCACCTGCAAAGCTCGGACACAAATACTAATCCTTAAGGCCCCGAGCACCTGCTTGCATGCAGATTGTGGGCTAACTGGGAAGGATGTGCAGTGTGGCCATGCCTGAGGCAAATTCTCCTTCAGGCTTATGTTGTGAGCACATGCATTTGTAATCCTGAAAGTCACAACCTGTCTTTCTTGAACCATCACGTCCTTGTGGACCTTGGTCACCTTGAGGTGGGAGACCTTTATACCATGCAGAGTTTCTGGAGGGACTGGGCCAGTGGGGAAGCAGTCAAAAGCATCTTTTCACTTTGTGAGTCAGAGTCCCCTTTCTTGTTTCCTTCTTGTAATCAGAGGTTAGAGATAAGAGCCTGATTCTTTACATTGTGTGCAAATTCACACCAGACAGAGAGTTGCGGTTTCAGCGTAAACTAGCCTGCACAGCAGCCACAAGGTGGCTAATTATGTTCTTCCAAGTCTGTGATTCCTTGTTTGCCCCACTAATGTTGCCTGACAATCTGTTTTGGGGATAGTGAGACATCAGCAAGATTTCCCTCAGTGTTCAGGTGCATCGTTTTGCAGAACTCCTCAGTGTTAGATCACTGTGACTTCTGATACACGGGGACTTCGGGCTGGTTGGTGGGAGCTGGCACAAAGCTACTGAAATAAGGTGAGCTCCTGATCCACACAAGTCAAGGGTAAACTGTGGCTAACCTCCCTTAGCCAGTATTTCATTGATGCACAGCAGCTGAGAAGTGGCAAATGTAATTTTTTTAAAGCTTATCTGATGTTCTTTGCAGAGCCAAAAGCCATTACCCTTACCAAGGCTGCTGGCCAACTGCATCAAAAGCCAGAATGAATATTCCAATTAAATTATTGGGCTGATAGCAGCAGGCATGGCTGCTTAATTATCTAGTAAGTCACTAGGGAAGTAAATTACCGAATCACAGCATGGTTTGGGCTGGAAGGGACATTAAAGCCCATCCAGCTCCACCTTGCTTGCCATGGGCAGGGACACCTCCCACCAGGCCAGGTTGCTCAAAGCCCCATCGAGCCTGGCCTTGAACATTTCCAGGGATGGGGCATCCACAGCTCCTCGGAGCAGCCTGTGCCAGCACCTCACCACCCTCATGGGGAAGAATTTTCCTTATATCTAATCTGGAGGTACCTCCCCCTTCCCAGGAGAGGGCAAGAGGCCAAGCGTGGCCCTTGGTGCACCTGCCCTGCAGCATTTAGAGCGGGGTGCTCTTGCTAGGCCAGGTTGTGCTGTGCAGGGAGTTGTGCTGTACATACCGTGGTTTTGGTTTCTTTCCAGAGCTTCTTTTCCATAGTTCTGTAGTAAAACATTTCTATAACTGAAGCCAAATGTCTTGTATTGGAGTGGACATGTGGGTTCTCCTGTTACCCTAACCTGGGGACACCTCCCAGCTGCCCAGAGAACAGAACTGGTGACAAGAAAACTCTCCTTGTTTCCTGGGGACAGAGCAGACCGGTGCCCTCGCTTCCTTTTGCATGCATTCCCAGGGGGGCAGTGGTCAGCTGTCTGCTCTCATTTGCTTTTGTGGAACCACTGAGCCTCCCCCCACTCTCTGTAACTTCATTCAGTAGGAGAGGCAGAAACAGGCATCCTCATGATGGGCATTGCCCACAAGCGTCTCACCTGCTGCCTCCTATGTGTCCGACTCAAGAAGGACAACGCTGTAGCTAGCCCACCACCACCGTCCTTCTCTGGGGGAAGTCAGAAGCGCATCCTGCTGGGACCTCCCGACTTCCTTTCGTAGCTGTGTGCTGTATGCAGTTACAGGAATTGCTTCCCTCCATGGTTTTAACACAACAGCCTCAGGTTCTGTCCATACCAACAAAGCAATTAGGGTGGCCTCATTCTTCTGAGGAACTGCAGGGTGTCACCGCAATTTCTGCACTATTTTTGTAGGCCGGAGTCAAAACTCGGTGAAGCCAATGGACAGAAACCCACTGATACCCTTGGGCCTTGGATCAGGTCCAATAACCTTTACAGCTTATTACTGTCATACTAGCTAACCTTTAACTGAATCCATAGTACCCACTCCCCAGCCACTGTGTACTTTGCTCTATAAACACAATCTCTGTTTGGATTGCCTTTGCAAAGGAGCACTTGAGACGTATGCATATCTGGAGTGCTGAACACAGAAGGCAAAGAAAACTTCAGGGTTCTTAGAAAGACCTGGGTACAACACAGAACAAATGAGTTTTCATGTAAAAAGTGATTTTATTTTATATTTTCTCCAGAGTTCATAGTGAAAGTTTCCCATTACTGAAAGGAAACAAATACAAATTAGGCAAGCTTATACATCAGTAGTGAAACATGCCCTTCACAGTGTTGCTGCAACCTGTCCTTGTGAACTTGCCCACAGTCCCAGCATTTCATCTTCGCAACGACAGTGAAAAATGCATTGTTTGAAGAGCGTTGGGAGGAAAATATGAAAAGGACAGGATGGCCACAGATATAAAATAAATTAAAAGTATCTGTAAAGTTTCTTTCCATATACAAAATAACTTTTCTTTTTTTTTGTACTTTTAATCTTTTTTTTTTAAATTGACATTGTCTGTACAAACATTAACTTTTAAACAAAAATCATTTACAAAGGCTGTTTTTACAAGGAGAAATGGGTTGCTAAACAAAATGTCAGTCTCCTGCAAACCACTGAGCATCTCCTCGGAGATGAGCATCCTATAAGCTTTTGGACCGGTCCAGCACTGGAGCAGAGGGATTCACAACCCCAGGGGTGCATGGCACATCACGAAATGTACTCGGCTCCTGGCAAGCTCAGGGTCCCTGAACAAATGAGAGAACGTTGCCCACTTTGAAACCCTGTGTCACTGATTCCAATGGACAACTCTCCTGGGTCCAGGTATCCACACTGCAGGGTGAATACGTTTTATTTTGCAGCCCGTGTTTTGCACACTTACTGCCAGATTCTGTATTCAGCCTGAAAGAAGGGGATTTTCAAGAGCTTTCTGCAGAGGCTTGCTCACAGTCTGCTCCTCACGGGGGACTTTCCTCCCAGAGTCCTTGGCAGACTGAGGCAGTGCTGAATCTTTCAGGACAGCCTATCTGAGGAGAGTGTTTGAGGAGCTAGAGACATTCTCTTGGCATCTTTTGAGCCAGCCATAAAAATAACGCGCAGGCATTAGATACTATATAATTAGATGGGAAGCAGAGCCATTTATCAATTAATACTATTTAAAAAAACAACAGGTGGCAAAAGCCCCCCATGCTGATTTAAGACTAAAATGGTGATTAATAACATTAGCTGGAAGTTATTCTGAAGACCCTAGTAATACAAAGTTATATACAGAAATCATTGCTTATGTGATTAATACATTACTGATGCTAGACATGGCTTTACTTAGAAAGTTGCATGTAAAAATAAAAATGCAAAAACAAATCCTGTGCATAAAATGTCTCACGTACATAGTTAATTGAAGATAACACTCAGTACAAAGTTGGAAAAGGCAGATCAAATTTTACTTGGAAGATTGTACTTGTTCGAACATGACAAGGTTAATGACAAAGACCGGCTTTATCCTAGTGAAAACCGAGCGTAGCATATTGATGCTCCAAAAGGAAAGCAGGTGGTGCTTTTCAGGTCAACTCCAGGCTGCCTCGTAACAGCAGTGTAAAGCATTGCCTATAGCCTTGAACTCATCTTCAGTCCCAGAGAGTGACTCAGAGCACTGCAGCGCAGGAGAAACTCCTATATTTAGGTAGCGCCTCTGTTTTGGAGTGCACAAGCCAGGAATCTTGGCTGCCAACACCCTCTTCTGTTCTGGGCGGGCCCAGGTGCGTCTGACCTCCGCAGAGCCCAGTTCCTGGCACTGCTTGTGCCAGGCACTGTTCACACACCCAGCTGAGCCCAGTCCTGGCCTTCTGCCTGAGAGAGCCAGCGGCTCCAAATCCTCCCTCCCCCTACGAACGGGACACTGGGGCTGGAATAGCATTCCCTGGGGGACTGACTGCCACTCTCAGAGGCAGTGGTCTCTTTTGCAGTGTGAGGACCCATCCCATGAGGATTTAGAAGGCTGCAAGGTCCTTTCTCTGCTGCATTTGGGAAGATGTAGACTGGCGCTGTTCTGAGACAGGAATGTGCTGTCATCCTAAGGCAGGGCAATGTGAGGAGAAATCCAGCCCTCAAGTGCTGCTGAGCTGCTCCCACCTTTCTATGGAAAACAAGACGTGCACCTTGAGAGCATTCAGCATGTACTGAACAGCAAAAATTACTGTAAAGGAAAGGATTTTGGCAATAAACTGTTACTCATCACTAGCTACCTCACCCTGGACAAAGAAATGGGACATTCTGGCACAAAGCCGAGGTTGCCTTGTCAAGCTGCATGAAATCTGTTTTGCAACAAGCTCTCTACAAACAGAAGATTAGATTGGGTTAGGTTTATTGCTTGAGCTTGCGCGCTGTTTAGCAGTAGCCATTACCGTGCAGAACTGCATAAACAAGGCATTTATCCATGCAGCTCTTGCAGAAGGCAGCTAGGGGAAGCCCCTACCTCTGCTTGTGCTTGCAGGGCCTGCTGTCTGAGAGCTGGAGCCACCTCCCAGCTCAGCACCCCATGTGCCCTGGTGACACCGGGCCCTGCAGCAGAGCGGGGGGTTCACAGGTGAGCCCCGCAGGACGGGCAGCCTGGTGCATGTCGCTGCTTCAGTGACACAGTGACGCAGCAGTGAAAAGCTCTGCTGTCCGCACCTGTCTGTCATTTCAGCCAGAAGAAAAGCACAGCTTTTTTACTCCAGTTTTTAAGTCAAGCTGATTCGCGCACTGAACGTCTAACTTTTTCTCCAACATATGGAAGTGGATCAAAAGAGCCTTGATCTAAACGCACACAGCTGCACGCTTACGGCTTGCTTTTGATGGCAATTTTGCTCCTATATGATGAAGATGGAACTTACTTTAAAAATGGAGACTTTTTTCTTGCAGTTCCAGGGAACTAATTCTTCAAGGCAACATCCTGCTACAGAGCTCTTGGAATCCTAACATAGGACAATCGAATCTGATAGCTGTGCTAATTACTGTTGCTTAATTGCAGACAGTAAGAAGGTATCAGATTGTAATTTGGGGAAATCTGACTGCACGGGTATGCTGTTGAAGCAAGATAAGGGAAGGACTGAAAACCTAACTTGCATCTGGGACTCATCTTTTTCTTCCACCCCGCCCTTTTTTTTTTTTTTTTTTGAAGCGAAACTCCTGTCAGCTTCCACCGAGACTCTGTGCACTAAAAAGTCATTGCTGAAAGGATCCTTAGGTTGTGTGTTCCACTTCCACACCTCTCACACCTACGCACATGCAAATTACTCAGGTTGGTAAACATGATAGCACTGCTGACCAAATACAAAAATCAATCATCGACTGTTTAAATTAGCTTCAAATAGTCAAGAAACTGCAAGAAGGCATTTACATAGGAAAACTTTTATCACCTTCAATACACCAAGGAATCACTGACTCCAAAGTAGAGAACTGAACTCTCTTGACCATGGGGAATTAATTTATTCCCTATGAATATTTGCCCTGTAAGTACACTACTTCGCACAGGCAGTTATGTAGATTACTTATCAAAAAGGTGGTTCAATGTTTACTCTTAGCACAAACTACAACATTGTTCTTGACAGTCAGAAGTGCTTTAAAAAGCTTCATCTCCTACAGAGGATATTGCTAGAAACAAAGCCTGAAGTTTCTCTGACATTGACCCAATAACAGATACAACTTTTCGCTGATGTGTATATGATTCATTAGGATTGCTTCTTTCCTGCTTGTAGTTTTGCACAAAAATTTTCCAGGTGGAACGCATGCTTTGTATTTTTGTTGTGCAAAACCTGCTAGCAATAAACCTTAAATTGACAAAACAGGTACAGCAAACTTGATTTTCCGAGTAGAAGCACAGAGAAAATAAAAGCTGCTATTTGATTAACATGACAATCAAACCTCACCAACCAGAGCTGGTTTTGATAAAATAACTGTAGTGAAGGTCTACGGGTAAGAGTTATGCACCAAATAATTTCACGTTCGGAATCAACTACAATAATTTACTCATAGATTATTTGCAAATATGTTCTCGAATATATGTTATCAACAAGTCACTCAGCCACTTCACTGAGCATGATACTTTCAAACCCTTAGCCTGCTGAGTTTCTGCAGTGGCAAGAAAGAGGAGTCTTTGCTTTTGAGATACCACAATTTCCCATGCAGCAGTAATGTGTTTTGTGTTCTTCACACCAAGGGCACTGACATCTAGTAATATGTTAACAAAAATGAGTACACACATGCCTTCAGTGACATGTCATACCAAGGGAATATATGTTTAAGTTGGATTATCTAAGGCTCTTAGAATGTCAGATTTTTTTTTCTTGCTGCACTACTCAGTAACCTAAGGCAGAAAGCTTAGCTTTAAAATGATTAATAGTATGTTTCTAATCTCCCTCCCCATTAGTCACCAGAAGAACGGAGACAAAAATTAACAGCTACTGCTGTTTCCAAAATCATGTACAAAAATAGATCAGTATGTCCTTCTGACAGTCTCAGAAATCTTGAAGAGTCTTCGGTAAATTCCTCTTTCATCTCTGTATTTATACAGAAACGGTCAGTCCCCATTGCCGTGAGTTACGTCTTGGTCAAATTCAAAGATTTATGAAGTTCATGTTCCCTTTCATTGGGACTGCTCTTCAGAATCCATGTCATTTCCATCCTTTTAGTTTGGATAGATTCATTTTTTTTTTCCTTCTCCCCTCTTCCCCCTCCCCCCCAAAGGAAATGCATTGGCAGTGCAAACAAAAAGTAGAAATCATAAGAAGAACCTCACAGAATAGCAAGTGATCACCTTAGCATTTCAAAAGGGTCTTCTGAGATGTTATCTGCACGCACAGGATTCCACTGTCATGTTGGGGTACACCTTAAGAACCACATTCTTATTTTCATCGAAGAACAAGATGCTGAGAGAAGACATTTTGTCCGGAACACAGCAAGGCTCAGGAATGCCCGGGACTACTCCGACTGCTCTCACTATACTCTGGATGGTGGCATGGTTGGATGGCTTCAAGGCCTGCAAGAGAAAGATAAAAGCAGAAAATATAATTTCATATATGTTAAAAGGGACCTGTATACTCCAGAACAAAGCTTGTTTCTTTAAGAAGGGCCCTGTGGCTGACACACTGTAAAATCTGTCTTTTACTTGACTATTCCCAGTTGTCACCACACACGCCCCGAGCCAGAAGCAGGGAATATGACTCTGGCCTGGTTCTGCTGGCCACTGGATGTCACTGCTGCTCCACTGCTTTCAGCTAGAGCATCCTGCTCAGGACAGGGGCCTCTTGCTCGCGGTGGGACATGCCTTCCCAGGAAAATGCCCAGGCAGCAGACCTTGCACCAAGGTCAAGGTCAAGGCAGTCTCTTCTGATGTAAATTAAGTTTCATGTGGGCTGCAATTTAGTCATAAACTTGTACAGCTGGGAGTGAGGCAGTCAACACGTTATCAGGCTGATTCATTAGGGGAGCAAAATAAATACAACTTCTATGATAGGAAGTCAGGCTGGTGGAATATGAGTACATCAGGGAAAAAAAAAAAAAGGATAAAACATATACAGAGAAGAGTTTGGAAATACTTCATGTCACAATGCTAACTGCTCCAGTTTGCTGTCTTCCAAGCTTAGGTTGTTTTGCTAATTCTTCCATGCCAAATCACTTCTCATCTGTAATGTACATCATCAGTGACACTGCTGAATAACTGAGCCTTCAAATCCCGTGTCACTTGTGCCTTATATTATGGGGACATATTGCTCTAAGGGACTAAATTTCCTGGACTAATACTCACACAATTTGAAACAAATTTTGGTTTAATACAAATGAAAAGCAAATCTGAGCAGTGAAATCGTTATTTCACTACATTTGTACAAAACAAACAAAAAACAACAAACAAACAACCACTCCAACAATCCAACCAACCAAATAAAATATGAGTTCATTCACAAAATGAAAACTCAATATATTCAGAAAAGTGAAAAATAAATATCCTAAATTTTACTTCCAGTGCCCTCAAACCCTTCCAGATCCAAATAGCTGTAGCAGGTGAGCATGAAACATGCACAAGACAGATTTTAGCCAGAGACTTTTTTTTGTAATAGAGAAATTTTAACAATGCATCTTAGAGCCCATCTTGCACACAGAACCTGGGAATCACATGGTTAAGTTTGCTCAGTCAGGTGTCACTGAGAAATATATGGAACAAGATCAGGCGGGCCAAATTTGCAGTTTGCGGTTTTGTTGGGATAAGAGATGATTTGTGTTGTGATAAATCAGTCTTGAGGCTTAGATATCTACCTACCTCATCTGCAAGTCCTAATGACCTCTCACACAAAAATCAGAGGAATAGCTGTGAGGTACCGGCTCGTCAAATCGCTTGTGCATAACGTTTGTACATTTAGAGGTATCTGCTTCCAGTTCGGCTGGCTATGGATGCCTAACCTGTCCCTTTTCAGGAAGGGATAGCTCATGACTCTGCATTTTCCCTCTATTCTCACAGGGACAGATGTTCCTTGAATTCCAACAGAAGTGAATCAGAATGGACTTTTTCCATACCCCATCGCTGAAAGCAGTCTCAAGTGAGAACTGGAACCACTTGACAGAGAATTGGAAAGGATTCATTGGGGAGCACTCAGCCATTCTTTAGGTACATGTTAAACATAATCTGATTTTTTTTTCCTTCTACTGAGGAGTCTATTTTGCATGCAGAAAGGCGGAGCAACAAATGATCCCAGTCCTGCGTGCCTCTTGCTTCTGTTTACAGTCTGACACTCTGAATTTTCTCATGTATACTCAGGATCCAAGTCCATTTTAAACACAAAGGTTGTATAAACCCTGATCTTTTTTTTCTCTTTGTTGTTTCAGTCAAAGTTTATCAGGTGAGCGAGATGGAAACATGCAGTGATGCTCTGCTTAAAATACAAAAGCAAAACTTCTTGAAGCATCCTCTTATTGGCTATAGATCTCCCAGCATTGTTACAAACACATTGCTCTCAATCTAGCTGGCAGATCTTAAGAAAGACATTGTTGTTCATTTGTTTGTTTTTAATTCAATGGCATCTATGCTCCTCAGCAGTAGTTTAAGTATATAATTCACATTTTTCTATAATTTCTCTCTGCAAGAGGATGTGAAAGCTCCAGAAGCATCCAGGCCTGGTCCTTTACTCAGCTCCAGTGCAGCATTCTCCACAAATGTCACTGGGAGCCCAACACATTTCCTAGGCCTGCTGATCAGATGCAAAGAGGTAAAATATCTAGATATTTTAGTGAGTGCTTTTCAGAAAACTGAAACCCCCCTCTGGGTACTGAATAGGCATTACGCCCTGCACAAGAAGGGGTATTTTGGCCACTGCCTGTGGGCTGCTGGCGCTCTGTCCAGCACATGCTAATGAAAAGCAGGCAAAGATTTTCTTTTAGGAGGTGAGGCCATAAGGAGCAGTGGGAGGGAAAAATGCTGAGCCGACTCCTCACTGCCAAATCTGTGAATAAGTACAGCTGTGGCTAAGGCTGCACCTGCTAAGCTGCATGCATCCTTGGGAGACTTGGTGCCCTGTTGAATTTCATTAGAGATGTATTAGGAGCGGGGCGCATGATGTCAGTTACGAGCTTTCATTCCTGACCTGGGAGAGGGTCTCCCTGGCCTGCACACTCGGTGCTGTTCTGCAAGCCCAACACACGTGGGGTTGAGAGCAGTCAAGCCAGCTAATTGAAATCAGGGAAAGGGTAGGGCCAGAAAGTTTGGAGGTGGAGAAGAAGGGGGGTGGTGGGGGGAAGAAGCACATCTGTTCTTAATTACCAAACAGGTTGTCAACTTTAGGAGTTCACCCTCAGCAAGGGAACATTATATACCCATAGGCACAGATTAGTTTGTTATTGCCTGATGGTTACAGTATCACTTTGCAAACACAGTCTTATTAGCAACACCAGATATTAGGTATGCCCAAGAATAACACATGGCTCTAGAAGATGCTTGCTTCACCTTTATATTAATTCAGCTTTTCATTTTCCTTGAAAAACAAGGTCATTTTGTTTTATGTGATTAAAAAAAATGCACAAAAGGAACTATTTGATATCTAATACGGACAGATGTCTGCCAGTTGCTCCCAGGGAATCAGTCTCAGCATGAGGTTTCAGTTACCTGCTCTCTCAGCGAACTCTCTCTCTGCAGTACATGGCAGCAAGCACTCATAGTCATGGTGTCTGTGTACCTATAATGCTCTGATTCAATATTCCTCACCCAACTGAGTCTAGGCAGTTTTGCACAGATAAGCCAGATCAGGCCTTTTGTTAGAATTTGGGGAAGAAAACTGATGTCCTGATTACAGTGGTGTAGGCCTGAACTACATGGCTAGCTCATGGCAATCAGACCCGCTTCGTGTCGTAGAAGTCATTCAAACATCGCTTTACTTGCCCACTCATCTCTCCTGTTTATTTCTCACCTTTCTGCTACTGTAAGACTGTTGAGGACAGGGACCACTTCTGATTGTGGGTACACGCCTGTCCCAGGCGGACTGAAGGGGTGAAGAGGAGGGGGAAGAATACGCCCTTGAGACTGCTGGACTTAGCTATGGTGACAGTAGTAGCTGCAAGTCTACTTATTTGGGTGGATGGGGTTAAAACACAACATACCAGAGGCCAATGCTATTATTTGCTGGAAAGTAGATCCTGATTTTGGCTAAAATACATTTGGCTCTGTATAACAGAAAATCTTTTTATACGAAGTGCAATACGTCAGGGGAATTAGCTGAAGACAGACGACTCGTAGATAAAGATGGAACCCATCTTTCACCCAGGCCATATCTGTTAACTTCCCTTCAGCGGTGAGCGCTGTTAATACCTCCCTGTCATGCCTCAGAGTGCCAAACAGAAGTTCAAATAACAATTAAACTTCGCTTTGTCTCTTCAGAACCGTTGGTTACTAAACTCATCTCAGGCATTTTACTTGCCAGGAGCATTTCTATTGCTCTTTTTTTTTTTTTTTTTTTCCTTCTTCTTCTTCTCCCCAGAGGTTTGCAGTTACTCTGGGTATTAAGCCCTGAGTTTGTGAAGCATGTCAGGGATTTTCTGGTTGCGGGTACTAAAAGAGGCTCTGCATACAGAAAACAAACCTTTTTATTATGTTGCTTCTTTATTATTACTCTGCTTTTTGTTTCTGGTGATTTATGTATCTATCTGAAGATAGCTGGTGCTTTTTTGCTACTGCTCTCCATGTTCTCCAAGTCTGATCTTGACTCTTTCTTGTATTCTTGTCTTAAATTAGTATTTAGTATGAAATTAGTATTTAGACTTGTATTCTGTCTTAAATTAGGTATTTCCCATCAACTCGAGGTAGGATTAGATTTCAGTAGGAGCAGGGAGAGACCAGTAACAAATTCTTCTAAAACCACTACCTTCAAAACTGTTTCGGTGAAAGCCTTGTTTGTTTTTGAACGTGCACTTTATCGAGCATTCTTAGGTTTGATCTATACCTCATAGAGACAGAAGAGGCACTAACCCTGAAATATGTGGTATGTATTGACTATTGAAAGAGAGCTTTTCTTAAGGCCATTGCTGCCTCAGGAGGTAGAAGCCTATTTTATGTCTGCCAAATGAAAAAAAAAAATACACACACACAGAAAAAAAAAATCTAATGAGTGGGCTGAAATGGTTCTTCTCTAACAAATGCTAGATTATGGGTGTTCATAAGCACCTCAGCTTATGTAAATCATAATTTACATAAGTAAATTAAGTATTTTACATAAGTAAAAGTAAAATAAGTAAAATAATAATTTACTCCCCTGAAAACGGAAAGAGCCAGAGCTGATAACTTTATGGAACAGGAACCTAAATACTTTTGAGTTTAACATGAGACAACTTCAGGCCTTTCTAAGAGGCTACTGAACATTCTTGTCCTAAATTATCATCAGAAATAGAAGAACTTGACTGAAAGTGACCTCCAGTAGAATCACTAACTGTCTGAACCATACTTCACGTTTGCTTTGTGTCTTTGCAACTCTGATGGTAGCCCACAGCACGTAGCTCATTTTAAGTGAAGAATATTTTAGAGGCCAGGATCAGCTGAAGACTTTGTGTTTGTGTGAACTCTTTTGAATTAAATACTTTAGCTTTTCTGGTTTAACTGTCATGTACCATTTTCTGCTAAACGGAAGTCCACACAGCACTCTTTTATGGTTGGGATAAAGTTCTTATAACAAAAGCTGCATCTGGAAATGTTAACCCACTGTTAAGTAGATGGTTACAGTGGACAGTGAAAAATTTGTCTGTCCTCTAGAAGTTCAAGAACACTGATTTTAAAATTTCTAAACTGTATATTGAGTAAAGCACGGTTCCCATCAACACTAAGTTAAAGGCACAATGCCATTCATGCACAGGTAGTGACTGTATCTCTTCTTGCTACCCACATGCAATCTCATCAAAAGCAGAGGATACTGCAAAAGGCAGTCTGTCAGGAACCATTGCTTCTGGATCCACTCTGTCACAGAAGTGAGTCATTTGGTTCTTTGGCTTACATGCAGAGCATCCCAACTGATCCTGTAGCTCCACGTACTCTCTGTCACTCTGACAGTAATGCCTCATGAGGCACACTTTTTTCCTAGAGGATGCTGTAATGACTGACCCCACTGCAGGCCTGGCAGCAGAGACTTCTGCATGGTATAACTACTACTGTCTAATAAGCGATTTGCTGTGTCTGGCCTGTATTATGTTTATTAAACAGGTTAATAACAAGTTCACACATCATTAGCACTATTCAGGAAATGTTTTATGTCAGTTTGGGCTCTGGACAAAAAAACTAATACCATGTAATATTTTTTTAATTATCTTTACAAGCCTGTTTTTTTACTAGCTGTTTTAAACACTACTCCTGGCAGTACAAGACAAAGATACCAGTTATTTACTGTATCCCAATACATAATAGGTGACCAGCTGCATTCTACTCATAGAGAAAAAAAAAAAGAAAAAAAAGAAGTGCATAGTTTACAATAACAGAAAGTGCAAAAAGATCAGTAAAGACAGTACCTTAGGAATGGGGAACTGGCATTCCCCCGAGCAGTAATAGGCATCAAAGGATTTAGGGGAAATAATCCACTCGCTCCAGCCAATATCTGCAAAATCCACCTTGAGATAGCGCCGGGCGCAATACCTTGGCTCATTCCATTGCTTCCTCCTCGCCTTCTTCAAGGTTTGCTCATCAAACTGCAGAGTCTGGCTCTTCTGGTGATGATTCTTCCTCTGCTTTTTCTTACTCTTTGCCCTCTCTGCCAAACGTGGCTGGAATGTTTTGTATGATTTTCTGTCTTCCCATCTCTCATCCTCATTGTACTGGTACTCAGCTCCTGGAAGCTCATTGTTCTGCAATGGCAACAGGACATTTGTAGAGCGTTTCCGCCGCCGCTTCCCACTGCTGCTCCTTACGTGGCTTTCTGGCCTAGGAAAGACCCTTGTCAGAGGATTACGGTGCCCTTGCAAACTAGAGACAACACTCTCTGGCTCTGAAATAGCAGAGTCATTGGCATATATCAGAATGTAAGGTTCGTAGTAAGAAGGTGCCCTTTTCCATGGGTGATGGCTTGTCAAATCCATTTTGACACCGATCAGAAGTTCATTGTTTTGTTTTGCTTCGTGCAGGACCTGAGTGATATCCTTCCACTGCCAGGAAAGGACATCCCCGTAAGCACTGGAGACATTTATTAGGAAACGTCCCAGACTCCGGGTCTGGTTCCCAACAGAAGGAAAGGTCCAAACTGAAAGATGTACTTGAATTTCAGGTTTTCTGTGCCCATGAGAACAGCCTCTGGATTGTGAACAGTTCCACTTAGCATTCAGCAGATCACCGATATAGTAATACACCGAAGCAGACAAGATATTTTCAGACTTGGTGAGTGAAGTCAAGTTAAAAACATACGGCTCCTGGCTTCCAGGGCTCCCTAGAAAAAAAAATATTTAGATAAGAATATGGGCAATTACAAATGTTATGGAAACCAGAAGGACTAAACCATAATAACTTCTAGGTTATACATTAAGTTCGTGGAAAATTTTCATGCAGTGCTTTGGGAAAAGGTTAAGGCCACTGTTCAGAATAATGACCAGCTGATAAACTGGTGACCTTAACATCACATACTTTCTGTCTGGCTTCCTTGTAATGTATACCTCAGTCCAGAAAAACTCATACATGTGCTACCACTCCTTTGATTCCAGGAAACAAACTAGGTCATAGGAACACAGGTGATAAGAGATGCACTGAAGGCTGAATCTATCATCCAGAAACTTGAGCAATATCATAGAAAGGTTTTGTTCTCCCTCCCTCTCTCTCTCTCTAAACATTCTTCCCTCCTTGCAAAAACACCTTAGGTAACATTGTTCTGTCCTGCCTACAAGTCTGTCCTTCTCCAAGACAAATGGGACATCAACAGCACTGAGTCATGCCTTAACCAAGACACAGCTGAAGCTGGAGAATGGCTCCCACTGGCTTCACCAGGCACTGGATTGTCTGTACTCTTCAATCATACTGGTGAGCCAAAGCCCCCTTGCTAGAAAGACAAGATTTGCTTCCTTCGTGATAGAGGCTGAATGTGGCTGTGAGGAAGACAAAAATCCTGGATTGAAATGGGGCAATGATTCTAATTGCTGTCCCAGGTTATAAAGTATGCTTCTAAGAAAGCCATTCGAGCTTTGATCACTGAGCTGTTCAATGCCAAAAAGCCTAGCTGGTTCCCTTATACCTCTCACTCTGCCCCTCTGTGATCTGGGCTTCACCTACAAGATGTGAACTTTGGGACCTGGGTGGCAGCTTCTAAATTGTCAGTGGCTATTAAAGAGGGACTCAAATACATGTAATGTTTGGTACAGCTACATATATTTATCAGGATGCTAAATTGCAATTACAGAAGAAGTACTACGTATTTCAAAAGCTAAACCAAAAGACAAGTTGAAATCCTGTGCTACAAAGGATGCTTCCTCTCAATGTTAACCATTCCTCCAAGACCAATTTAGTGGCCCCTCAAGCGTTCCTTTGTATGTATAAATGACACAGAGCCCTTCACAACTGCAAGGGTAACTGAGCACAGAAGCAAGCATTGACACCAGTCTTGCACACAAAGAAGGAATGCAGCTTGCCTCTAAAGACATGGCGGTGAGAAACACCAGGCTAGAACCACTGCTTTCATTTTTAAGGCTCAGAAGTCAACTGTGGAGACACAGACAATTCACAATTTGTAAAGGGCTAAAAACACTCAAGCTTGTATGACTTCCTTTTGGCTAAGTCGGACACTAATCACAACAAAAGTTTCCCTCTAGAATAATCTGGACCAGGGTCACTTCAATTACACTGGATAAATTCAGTCATTCCTCCTAGGACATTTCATCAATTTTCATGAGAACCAGTAACAAAATATTTACTAATGTAGCTGGAGCTAAGTGGACAGTACTTGAGCAACCCTAATAACCAAATGAAAGCCAAACCAAGCTGTCTTTCTGTGCAGGGTGGGAGGAGGGATGGGCAGTGGTGGCAAAATGCACCCACTAGCCTCTGTGCAGACAGAAACAAGCCAAGGACAATACATCTTCATGGTCAGGGTGTTACTGTGTCATTTAGGAGGGATGTGGTGCAAAGTGGGGTTTCCACAGCTGTGAAATTAGAGAAGTCAACTTAACCACAGGTATCCTGCACAAATCCAGAGACACACTCCTAACACAGGAGAGAAAACATATAGCTGACTACTTTAATCTCCTGCAGGGTGTGACAGAAAGGCTTGGAGGTGAGGCTTAATTTTTGTTACAAGATTTCCTGGTTGACCTGCAGGTATGTCTGTCCTTCAGAGTGGGAGAAATATAGATCCAAACGTTAAAGTGTTATCGAGACCTGTAAAAACAAGCTGTATCGAAAAGTCAAATATAGTCATGCAAAGGTATGCTCTACAGCCCCCCAGAGGGCTGGAAACAACCCAATACGTAAGGAAAATGAGGCAACATGGAGTTAAATGCTTTTTTGACACCATAGCATGTCAAAACCCTCTTTAGTGGCTGGAGAGAAGTTTTAAACTCCAGAGTTTTCTAAGAGTTGTTTTATCCCTAGGAAAGAGAAGCACAGAGGATGTGCCTGTGGAGTAGGGAGGAACAGCCTCTCTGCTTCCACCCTCAAGACACTGTATTAAGCCCTCTGCCAAAGCAAGTGAGACCAAATAATTTCCAATACTGAACTTTCAAAAATTTTGGCAGCTTTATGCTCCGGGTGATGTTTTGGGTGACATTCTGCGCTTCCAGGCACAGATATCATAACTGCTATTGTCATTCAGAGTCCAGTGCATGACAATATTTGCCCTCTGTCTGCCCATCCCAACCAGCTAAGTGGCCTCTTTTTCTAACTTTATTTATTTTTTTCCTAATCAGTTTTCTAAAGAAGATATTAAAAGAGGAGAAATCAGCCTCACTAGAAAGACAGAACCTTTCTCCCCAGTACGTCACACGTATTGCTTCTGGAAATTAGGGGCAAAAAATTCTCAGTGAAATGGGGAAAAAATGCCAAATCATTAATGGAAGACACCACAGATTACACACTCAGCCCAACCTGACAGTGGATCACATAAGGTTTTGGTAGGTAAGTTATTAATATCTGAAAACTAATGTACCAAATCCATCCAATTTCTGGCTATCACTTATGCCTGGGATTTTCCTTGATTTTGATAATTTTTTTTAAATTCATGAAGGCCAAACCCAGCTACTCATTATGTTTGTACTAAGCTCACATGTGCACTTGACCTCTGCTTGGTTTGTAATCACTAATATTATAAGCTTAATATGTAATCTGGCAGAGCACTATGCATATCAGTCTTAGGAAATAGAATTTATGGTGTCTCATGCATGTTTGTTAAAGAAGTTATTATTTGAACCCCTGTTTAATGTTAAATGACAAGTTTTGATTTTAATTTTTAATAAGAATTCCGTTTAACAAATACTGCTTGTTCTAAATTGGCATATTGTAGCAAAACACAAAACAAGCTGCTTTTGTTTATAAAGAAACTCTATCTGGCGTGAAACAGACACAGGAGGAACATATACTTTGATTAAAAGCAAAGCCTAAGAAGCCACTCTTAACTCTAGACCAAAGACTTGCAGTAGGTGGTGCTATTTTTTCACTGAACGACCTCTGAGCTCAAACCATTAAGAGGTTTCAGATAATTCACTTCACAAAATCATCTACAAGCAGGTTATTAACATCCAGCACAGATGCATATGGCTTTGCTGGCTCTCAGCTCAAAAAACCTCAGCTGTGTGGCCCAGGTTTCTGTCACAACTTAGGAACACCGTGTCAAATCCATCCTTTGTATGACAGTGATACCTGAGTGCGATGTGAGCACTGCACTCAAATAAGCATACTGCAGGCCAGTAATTACCCTTATGAGTGACATATATGTAAAGGAAGATTCAGCATTAAAGTATCTACAAATGCACCTTTTCCTCGGGAAAATTAAATTTGCCTTAAACGAAACTTCATCCTCAATCCCAGATAACAGAAACCTCTGAGGATCTGTCCCCACAATAACATAATTTCAACTCCTAACCAAGGACAGGAGGTGCTGAATAGCATCTAACAACATTTTACTGTGAGGCATGAACCTTTCTGAAAGCCTCAGCCAGCTTGCTTTAGTTATGCTGTCTGATGTGAGCTGAAGCTTAGGTTTTATAATTAACATTTTTAACCCCCCAAACTTAAACCAAACCTACCTAGGGCTTCAGCAACTCCAATAACTTATAAATGTTCATTATAACCAATATCTCCTAGTACGCTAGTATCCATTTAAAACAGAGAGGGGAAGGGAGCCAAACCATAGGGCCCAGCACCAACAGATTAGCAGCCAGCGGGGAAACACGGACTGTCTTAGCCCAGTAGAGGTCTCTGGCCAGTTTATCTGCTACAAAAAGAGCTTTAAGGTCTCAAAGGTAACAAAATCTAGTAAGACTAACAGAGAGCTTTGTTGCTAGAAGCACGAAATCAGCTTTGCAAGTCGAAGGAAGAAAAGCAGGCCCAGAAACCTATGCCCTGGGAGGTCATGGCATTGCAATAGCTTTTTTTCTTATGTTTTCAGTATCAGACAAAAATGAAAACACCAAACATTTGGAGAAACTAGCTGCCCAGAAGTGAAATGGTCTGTTGCAGCAATCGATGTTCTCCTTGAAGTATCTCATACTGAAACATGACACTTTAGAGAGATGCTGGTACAAGGTCTCCCTCCAGCAGATGGCTGCTGGAGCAAGCCCACAGCAGGGACCACCACCTTGCTGCCTGGCAAGGTTCTGCCACACATCTCTGAGCAGCTGTACTTGGTAACCTCGCACTCATACACAGCAGCACACAATGTGATGCAATTACAACTCAGTCATTATTACTTGAATAGCAGTAACTTGGCGGGCTCACTTCTACTTCCCAGCACTGCAAGCAGCAGAGTTCTATCAGAGCAGCATTAGCTGAGCTAGTCTTTTGTCTAAGTCTTCTAGGACTTACTTGAAGAGAGTTGTACTAACTCAGTTTTGCTCTTTAGTAGTACTACACAGGAAGCACAGACAACTTCCCTGCAATAAAGTCGAATGCGAAGATTTAAGAGGAAAGGAGCAGAGGAAAAATATGGGGAATGAAAAGAACTCCATGCAAGGGATACACTGCTACCTTCCAGATACTCTTAGGCCAGGCTTTAATGGCAATCTCTGCTCCCCTTAAAGGGATTACCGTATGTTGCTGGCAGCCTGCTGAGGAATTTCTGAAGACCAAGCTCTGCATGACATAGCTCTTCCAAACTGCAGCAGGTAAGACACAGCATCAGTGCACTTTCAGTATCTTATCAGATACTTTCAGTATCATTTGCCCGTACCATGTAGAGCTTTGGAACAGCAGCCATGAGCTGGGCAGGAAAGTACTTCACAGCGAGAACAC